GCACTTGCCTTAAATTCATTATTAGGAATGAATTGAAGACATAATCATGATAGGCTGAGTGTTATGACTGTAACGATTACTCCCAAATGAATATGAGAGGAAAAAAAATACCATTGAACATATTTTTCTAATAAATTGTGTCTGAGAATTTAATTTTATTGTAAAGAAATGCTCACAATTGGATATACTAGCGCAAAGGCAAATAGTCGAGGCAATTGAAGAAGATGAAAAAAGGCTAACAAATTGGACAACGACATTGCCAACAACAATTCGCCACCAAGACTGTTAGCTTTTAGAGCTCGTAATTTGGTTGATTTATTGCAGTTCTGTTAATACTGCAGTATATTGTTTGGTTTATTTTTTTCTTTGAAGCCATCTTCACTCTTCTATTCCCTATTTGATTTGCACTGTATGTACTTTTTTGATACCATATTAGCTTGAACCAATGAAGATCAAGTTGGCATTGCGCTATCATACTATTAAAATCATAAAACTGGAAAATTCAGTAAAGGAAAAATAAGATGGCCAAGAAAATGCAGCAGAAGAAATGGTCTCACACCACTTTGGTTTGCGATCGCAGTAAGCACTTTAGTTGACATACTGACGATGGGACTAAGTGATGAAGCCAACAATGAAAGTTTTTTTTCCCCTTCTATCTACACTGTACCAAAATGCAGAGCGTCTTCGTTTCGTTTGGCACAAACTAGACCACATTTTTCTGTGATTTTGTACAGTCGCATTCTTTTGTGTATATTCGGCAAACAATGCATAGAATGATTCATTGGCGTTTGCCTGCAATACAATCTAGTAACAATGTGTGTACTTACATTACCCCCGAGTCGGGATTGCACATAGCGAGCCCAATTCGATCTAGGCAAAAACAGCAAACTGAAAAATAATAAAACGAAAGGAAAAAAACATTTCACAAACTAGATATTCCACAGTCAAGTAGGTCTTTTTTGCATTGCAATATTGATTTTGGCAAAGATTACAATTTCAGATTTATATTTATATCATGCATGTGCTTTGTTGCATAGACTGGCTTCCCACTGTTAGTATGTAACAATGATTTGTGGGTCTATTGTATTATTTTAGTTTGATTTGATATGCTTTTTTGTTGCGTCATTTTGGATTCGTACACGTTTATGGGCGGTGTGCTTTTGATGCGTAGTTGACATCTTTCTCAGCAACTTTGACCTTGAATGTTCGAAATATCGAGCACCAACATTTCGATGTAATAGATTTGCAATTGAATAATTTTGATCTTTTTTCAAAATGTGTTCTGCTACGAGAACAGTTAAGTCTCCAAATATGGCCATAAATACATATATAGAAAACTCAATAAAAACACTACGCTACAAATATACCGCGTGTATTCCCTGCGCACGCTACGTTTATACCATTTTCACGCTTACGCTTATTTTATACATAGTTTAATACAGAGTCGAAGGTATATTTGAGGGATATTTTCAGCGTGAACCGCATGCAAAGCATACGGATAGAATACGCTAAGTCTAAGTATTCTATACGTATGCTTTGCATGCGGTTCACGCTAAAAATATCCCTTAAATATACCGTGATAATGGTATAAACGTAGCGTGCGCAGAGAATACACGCGGTATATTTGTAGCGTAGTTTTTTTTTTTTATTGAGAAGCCTTATCCTACTTCAATCAATTAAATCCTCTTGTTCAACTCTCTGATTGTTGTAAATAATCGAACGATAATTTAACCGAATGAGATTTTTTGTATCTCAATTTAGAAAAGAACTGGGTGACACATCCGATTTTTTTTGCAATACTTCACCTCAATTTGATAATTTCTTGGTATGGCTCGTATAATTTTTGGATAGTTCATGCAAAGAATTTTGAAAATTTTGAAAGATTGATAAAGATTCCAAAGCTCGTGGAACATTTCCTATATGGCATTTTGATTGTCATTCAATGCTAATAAGCTGTAAATTATGTTTGTTACTTTTCCGTACACAACGTGTCAAGGGAAAGTATAGGAATTGGTCCCGAAAACTTTTTTCGCAAAATTGGTTTAGATCATCATAAAAACTCATGAAACGCGTAGAAAACACTTTTTGAGACACTTTTCCGTTCGTGTGCCGTCGTCGTCGTCGTCGTCGTTGTCGTCGTTGTCGTTGTCGTTGTCGTTGTCGTTGTCGTCGTCGTCGTTGGTGTTTGTTAACACGATAACTCAAAAAATAATTGAGATAATCAAAATCTGGAAATGCCAAAAGTTCAAGGTTTAAATTTTCCCATCCGCTCGATAGAGCCTCCATAGATTGAATCGAAAGAGTTTTTCAAAAGAGACTCTTTCAAAAGAATCTTTGCAACAATTTTCAATATTCTGCTACAAATTACGGCTGTAAACTATATTCAAATGATTGGTTTTGATTTATATTTTAATACTATGAAGAAAAAAAACAAAAAAAATTGATTTGTATTAAATTTTATTGAAATTATTGATTTCATTAAAACGATCATTTTGACAATCGTATAAATGTCAAGTATGGCATGAAGTTCCAGTGTATGGTGAAATGTCACAAATCATTGTACGACGATTGTCAAAATATGGATCAAACGAAATCAATTATTTTAATAAAATTTAATACAAATCAATTTTTTTAGTTTTTTTCTTCATAGTATTAAAATATAAATCAAAACCAATCATTTGAATATAGTTTACAGCCGTAATTTGTAGCAGAATATTGAAAATTGTTGCAAAGATTCTTTTGGAAGAGTCTCTTTTGAAAAACTCTTTCGATTCAATCTATGGAGGCTCTATCTAGAAAGGTCGTTGAAAGGTCGCGTTCAGTGTCGGTATTGATCGATGAAATGTACTAAACACGAGATTGTGTATTACGATGAGTTGTATGGAAAAAAAATTCACTTTCAATTGAAAATGTGAGATTTGATGTCTATAAAGAGACAAAAGAATGATTTGCCATTCATTATTGTGTACTAGTGTTTTTTTTCAGATAATTTTCGGCTTTTTTTAAAACAAAGTTGCAACACTTGAAATTGGTCGTGCCGTGTTTTAAACTTGATGATGACAATTCGTTCACTCTTATGTTTTGTGCATTTTGCATGCCAATAGTCGAAAAAACGGTGATTTTCTTTTCTAAATTGGTTTATGAATGAAAAAGTGATTTTGTATAAAATTGGATAAACAATAAATGAAATCTTCATCAGAACCGTACGAGAAGATATTAGTATCACCGACAACAGATAACGACACAGAAAACATTCAATTTAGTACATCTGTCAAAAAGCATGATCCATTGCTATAGCAGGTTTAAAACTCTTTAAAGCCAATAAGAATCGGTTTACGGGTACCTCTCATACAAAATTGTCGAAGTTTTAGTTAAAGTGAGCAATTTTTCACTGCTCACGCATAATTTTATATTTTCACTGCCTTTATTTCAAGAAAATTCACAAAAAATAACCAAAAGTACCTACGGACAACGCAGGCCAACGATACAGAAAAGTTCGGGATTACCAATGTAATTCTTTTTATTTTGTTAGTTTTAACTGTGCCACTACGGGAGGTCACTTTCGTCGTTTCTGGTTGTTGTTTTATATGTAAAATACATGTCATTAGACGAGGATGTCATTTTGTCAGATTAAAACAAAGAATGACTACCAGCTTCGCCCTATTCGAACTTTTCATGATATTTGTACGTGAAATTTATAAGTGCATCTTTTGAAAAAACCCAAAATCAATGAAAGTTCAAAGTTTTTGATAGATTATCTATGGTATTTATATGTGACACATACAGCGCCATCTATTGAAAAAAGTCACAATGGTGTCAAGTTGAAATAAGGCAGAATAACCCAGAAAATGGTTGTCATTCTTTAAAGATTCGAATTTCGAATACATTAGCTTATTCAAAGGAAGTTATTATTTTTCATAGCAATCGTAAATGATGTTCAATTATTTCTGTGCTGAGACAGCTCCTCACATAAATGTGAACACTCGTTCACAAATAGGTTAAATTTAATTAAACTATTACAACTCTCCTATTCACTTTGAATTTGACAACTGATATTGAGCGCAAACACCACCTATATAATCTAAGGCTTATGACCATACAATCAAGTAAACTCTCCGTTTTGTCAAACATCATACTGAAGTATAACATACACACATCACGAACTCGCCATCGGTTCTTTAGATGGCGCTTCGGTCAACCGAGTTCCAACTGAATACATAAATCAGTATACAAAGTATTCCACTGTTGTACTATTATCTAATTTTTCCCCAGAGCCTTCAATCGGCTGACAAACTCCATGAAAATTTACGTATGCAATTCCGTATAGACCGCTCCACTCTACTGAAAATCGTATAGATATATACGTAAATTTGACACAAACATATCGCTACGTGCTCAGCTGAATAAATTACGGAAAAAGCACTTCCCTTTGATCCCCAACCATCTCAGGGAGCTTTCTTTGAAATATCTCACTAAATTATGTGCTCGTTTTCTTTAGAAATTATTCCATTTTATATGGGACACATGTAGCTGCCGCATGGAAGCAACTGAGTAATAAACCCAGCAAAACTTAGATATTAAATGATTCTCAAATCGTCAATGAATCACATTAAAATGTTTGATATGAATATGTTGATATTATTTCTACTAAACTTGAGTGACATTTCGACAGTTCTATCATTATTGCATAAACGGTAAAAATTTGAAGCTCAACACATTATCGATTTGTTTTTGAAAGTACAAATGGTTTGATGAAAAGTGTTTGTTGAATTGCTTTGCCACAAAAAAGTCTTGGTCTGATGACATTTATGTCTTCTTGACATGTTTTCATTGTTTAACCACGAACATATGTTAAAGTAAATAGGATTATTAAAGAAAAAGCAGCGAAGAAAACATGAAATAGAAATTGCATTCATATTGAATTATTTATTCTTCCATTTTAGGAAATTTTTTACAAATACATTCAAGTTGGAAATAAGAATATTTTCTTCTGCTTTCAGATGCACTGCGCAATAATTATATAAAACGTAGTGATGAACTCCAGGTGAGTAAATATTTGTGGAGTATATGCTCACAAATTAACATGTTTACACTAAAAATCCAAGACGAATTATACCGGTTTGCGGTTTTAATAGAACTCTAAAGTGGAAAATCAAAACTTTCATTGAGTTAGGTAACAAAAATAATCACAGTTTCAAATCATTTCGCATAAAGTGGAAATATGTGTTCATTGAATGCGATTTGGTAAACAACTTGTGCTTGTCGCTTAGAGCTTGTAAAACATAGAATGACGCAGTGCACTTGTACGCGTTATATACTTTAGGAAAATGGGGATTTGGTTACAGCTTAGGCTACGATGCTAGGGTATTTACCATAAAAATGGAAAAGTACATTGTGAACGTCATTCTGAAAACATGATGCTACTGTAAATTCAGTGTGTAGTTAATTTGAGCGCAAAAATTCTACTTTGGAGTTAAACCGAAAATTGAAATGTACAAATACAAAAATCGTCTCTTGAATAATAAATGAACATACATTCATATCAATCAAATTATATCGGTGATATATCGACGAAAAAAGAACTCAGTTAATCGCATATTCATTCAAGAGCTGTGGCATTTTATCGCCGATTTTTGTATTTTTTTAGTACGATTTTTGGAAATTTGAGTACGATTTTTGTATGTTTTAGGACGATTTTAGTTTTATTAAATCAAATAACCATTTGTGCTGACAACATCCATTTTGAGTTGCTTTTGCCTCTTTGAAATAAAATTCATTTGTCAGCTGAATGCCAAAAGTTTTGGAATTCACGAGCGCCTTACTGTTAAGCATCAAAAAATCACATAGTCACAGCGACCGCACAAAATAACAAGAGAAACACACGCAACTGATAAATTATTATGGATCAACGTAGATAGAATTGGTATTGGATGGTGTTTTTGAAAGTCTCTCCTTAGTATGCTGGGAAAACGTCTGTAGATGAGCTTAGATAAATTGTAATACACCATATGAAGCATGTTCATGTTCAATGCATTGTAGTATATTGAACTTGTCCATCGAATTTGAAATGTTTACAGTTTCATTGATAGGAAAATTACACAATATAACATAATATTTGGTATCATTGCAGACAGAGGTAGATCAAGATGTCTTGGATTTAGAGAGCTTAAAACGTGTGACAAACGATGCACCAACAGAAAAACAAGGTGACAAATTGGCAACTCTTGAAATGCAGTTAGCAGCTGCTTCTGCCGTTGCTGCGACTGCAGCAGTGAATGCTGGACACCATGAGCAGTATGATACTTCGACATATGGAAATAACGAAAAGCAACCAGCCGAAACAGATGCAACAATCAAAGTCCCATCCACTGATGATGTCCATTCCGAAATTGTTACTCCAAATGTGAACGGAGCACAAGGTGCTCAACCCAAAGTGAGCATTCCAAATTCAATTTTTATATTAAACAGTATTAAGATACATGACGCATTAGAATCGATCGTCAATTTGCCAATAGGTTGGATTGCCATGGAGAAGTTTAGATTAAATAAAATTTCCAAAAATATATTTCCAACTAAAAATGGTATTTGTTTGTATTTCTTCATTGTATTCCCATTGCCACCAACAACAACCAGCAATATCATGGAGCTGCGCGACTAGCGTTTGGACAAAATCCAGAAATTGTAAGTAGTACAAGTACATCAACTACCACAACAACCACTCAAATACCGGTATCAACTGCAATAACAAAGTCCTCGAGTCAAATATCAATAGACAACAGTTCTTCGGGCGTCGAACACGAAAGCACACCTCCTATTGAGATCACAAATAATGGTGGAAGACGCTCGGGAAACATGAATGGCGCTAAGGTTCCTCAATCCGTTTAAGACTAGTGCTTTCATTTGATTTACGTAGTAGTTGTGATTTGTTTTTAATTTTGTTTAACTTAGTGCAACGACGCTTTCGTTTCGTGTACAATTCTTCATTGAATTTAATTTCCTTCATAACGTTTTTAGTGATTTTGATTTGTAGAAAATTGATTGAAAGCTTAATTTACTTTGATCACCTTTATATTGATTTGTTATGCTTCCGGAAAATCGACTTTTTGTGAAAATTATTTATGTTATGTAACAATTAGGTAAACGCAACCGTTCTAAGCAACTTGAATTGAATTGACAAAACAACCAAATTGGATTTTTATTTCTAATAATATACTGTTATTTGATTTTATTATACAACCAAGTTCATCAATGTTCACTATTAGTTAGCACTAAATCCACTTCAAAATTCATTAGGTTTTCGCTGTGTTTTTTTTCACAATCTTTATACCTATAACGCCTAATATTTTTGTACGGCTTCAACAGAATGCGGAGTATCTATTCAAACATAGTGGTGGTCAATATTCAGCATTGGATATGGCGCAATACGTATTTTGGACTGGAGATGAGGAGGGTGTAGCAAAAGCCGTTGAAGAGTTCATTCGAAAGGGTTTGGTATGTTTTGGTGTCAGAAACATGCATCACATCATCATATTTTTTGAAGCTAAGCAAGTGCTTGCCAATTATGCATTCATTTTAACCTGAATCCAAATAAGTTTGATTTGAATCAATCAAATGTTGCGCTTGCAAAATTGATTAGTTGAATACAAACTTTTGATTGGTTAAATTCTCCGCCGCGTGAACAAAAATATCAAAATGTTATGCAGTAGAAACGTATTTGGACCAAAAAATGAGGAAATGTCGAAAAAAACAATTGAAATTATTTATTATATTGCAACAAAATTTGGTATAGCATAAAACTTCACTACGCTCAACACTTCCTGAAATTTTCATACGATTCTAATCACCAAATTTTGGCCAAAAATTTAATTTTTCGATTATAGGGAGAAAAGTTCGTAAATAAAACTTCAGTTTAACTTTAATTAATAGTTGAAGAATTGAACTTTAATGCTGTTTGCCTCAAAAACCTAAAATCACATATGTGAAGTAACAGTCCGTTTTAAAAGTCAGACTTAGGCTCAAAACATCGTCAAAAATAGAAATTTCTTTGCAAATTTGTTGAATAGCCCATATATATCCTCCATTTTTCGTCAATTAATGCAATTTCACTACGAAATACATATTTTTAAGTTTTTGATATCTGTGTGGAATGCTATAACAAATATTCATTTGCAGATGTCACGTGAAAATGCGATCAAGTTTTTAAGAGACATTTCGATGGGAATCGATTATTTGGAAAATGCGTACGCAACCAATCGTCAAGTTGATCCAATTGATGATAATTCATTACGGGTAACAATCAATATAAATATCACGTTGAAAATGTTGTTGCAATCGAGTTTTCGATATATCTGCATTTGAAGCGTGTAACGTGGAAAAAAAAACATTTACAATTATCACCGTTTCCGTATTTGTATCTCAACACAGGACTATCCACCAACGGTTGCAACGACAACAACTACTACTACAACAACAACAACGCAAAAACCAATTATATTGGTAGAGAAATCGGTGATTGCTCCATTTGGAGAAATTCCATCGCCATTGATGCAACTCAATAAAATTCCAAATGAAAAAACCAAAGGTTCATCATTATATCAATGAATATTATCATTCGATATGCGAATGAAAAATTAACAAATTTTCAATAACTTCCCATAGAACATTCCGTCAATTTCGATGAAGCGTCCGGTCGCCTGAGATTGGCCGACTTTCTTTATGCAGAGTATTCACTAGAAGAAGTAATATATCAATTGGCAAAGGTGAGAACAACGGAGCAATATGAGTCAAAATATGATAATAAACCATCCTCGTCTAATACCATTGATTTTATATGTAAAATAACAAAAAGAAACGAGAAAAGTGACCTCTCGAAGCGGCACAGTTGAAACTAACGAAACAAACACAATTGAACATGTCATTTTCATGTTCAGTGTTGGTTCTATTGTTTGCCGTATAGCCGAAGAGAGATGTCTACAGCTTAGTGGCGTTGAATGACATTCAACACCCATGTGATGAACAGTTTTTTTTTTATAAATAATTTCTATTTATTTTTCTTTTCAAGGTAATGTTTTCTCAGTCATTATCAAAGGGATCAGAAGAAGCGCAAATTGCCTTGCAACGACTGACAACATTCCTTGAAGGTGAAGGAACCAGCGGCCGAATATCACCCGCTTTGCAGAAAAAAGTCTTAGGTAACCTAAAATATTTGCAAAACTTATTTTAATGTTAATCGTCAATTTCTTCGCTATTTACAGATGTATTACTAGTTGCTTTGTCAGATTGTTTGGCAGAAAATCCACAGTTATTTGCAGCTGCAAAACTGAGTTTGGGTGATACGGGTGGTCAATTATCAAAGCAACCAGATAAACATTTTGCTATGCAAATAAATGAATAAAGAATTATTTACTTAAATAACAACAAGAAAAAATTATCGTTTCACCAAAACTTCAATATTCAACACGTCCACGCACACATGGAATAAAAGGATATACGATTAAATTAACACTTTGTCGAATTCTGTATATCTCATGTATTGAGCTTTGTAAGTTATAAGAATTTATGAATGTAATTTAATTGGAATAATAAAAAACATGAAACTCTACACAAATTTGGCGTTATAAATCTAACGAATTACAACGACAGTCGAAAATTCAAAAACAAAGACACTGGAAGGTAACTTAGAAATGTCATTTCTCACACGGGTAACATAACCTCGAAAATGAATGAAAACAAATGCGAGTTAGATATTGTAGTAAACATTCATATTTTGTTCTGTAGAAAGATACTATTTATTGATATTGCTTGGAGCTAACAATTACACCATGGCTGAATCAACGAGCGGTGATAAATTCGAAATTCCACAGGATATGGCACGAATATTATATGAAGAAGGTGCTTTATTGATTATTGCTGGGGTTCCAGTTGGCACAGAATTCGGAGTGGATTTGAGTACAAATAAAGTTGATGAAATGTTTCGAGGAGTGAAAATGATTCCACCAGGCACTCATTTTGTGTACACAGCCGCTGAGGGTATTTATGGTGATACAGCTGCTCGTGTTGGGTTCGTTCATTATTTTAAGAAACAAGAGATTGTTATTCGCGAATGGGACCAAAACACTGAGGAGCTCCGACATCGTTCCAGTGCAAACATTGAAAGAGACAAAGCTCGTATACGCGAAAATCTAGCAGATCTTGACAAGTATGGCGAAGTGAAACAAGTATTTATTTTTTTTTATTTTGATCCATTTTGTAATTCATATTTCTTTCACTGCTGTCTTCATTTCAGATTTTTGGCACCCTATGATTTTCAACAGCTCAAGAAGTGGCAACAATTGTCAAACGAAATTACCGAAGAGGTTATAGCCCGAACTGAACCTGAATGTAGCGGAGTTATTCGATCTTCGGCCGAATTTCAATCATGCTCAGATGCAGATCGACCAAAAGGTCAATCGCCTCTCACTCGACCTGCAAAAATTCGACCGAATCAAACGGAAGATGAACTCTTACCTAACTTAAAAGTGGTGCAAGGAACAGCTCCACGATTCACTAAAATTCCAGCATTGTATCCAAATTCCGCAAGCCCAGCTGAAATATCGGAAAGCCATTTAGATGCTATTCGTGCCATTGAAACTTATTTCAGCGCATTTCTGGATCCATTTGAAGCGATTCGTGAGATACAAATGTCGTTTATCCTCTTCCTGTGTGGTTGTTCTGTAGATGCATTGGCACATTGGCGAAAAATTTTGGGCTTACTAGCAAAATCTGATTCGGCAGTATCAAAGTTCAATTGTTTTTATCGTAGATATTTAGAAATACTTAAAATACAGCTGCCTGAACTTCCCGAAGAATTGATGATGCCAACGTCAAATAATACCGTTTATAAAGACGTTCGACAGTTGATTATTAATTGTTCATTGGGTGGATTAAAAGATGAAGCAGATGTATTTACAGCACAGTTAACAAGTGTAATGTCGTGGTATTTCGATGATTTGTTCGACGAAAATCCAGAAGATCTCCCTGTAATAGTTGAGATTTAGTTCCAACTCGATTCCGGAATGATATCCGATATTCAATAAAGCAATTGATTATTACAATGAAAAAAAGTATACAATTTCAGTTGATTTCAGCAGTGCTAATCGATTCTCCATCAAAAATTCAAAGATCAATCGTTTATTATTCTTCAAACAACTCATTTTGATGCAAGCAATGTCAGAGCATTGCATGACGGCTGAGTAAGTATGAATCAATGGCAAGCTCGTTACTCAGCCATCCACCGTGTTTTACCTACGATATATACCAACACGTACATAATACCTAAATATATGCCAATCAAATGCTGCTTCTACAAACAATTTATCGCACCACATCAATGTTACCAATTCATAAATGTTTAAAAATAATGCACGTAATTTTTTTTTTGCCGTAATGGTGATTGATTGTGTTAGTTGTTGATATAAACAATCGAAAAAAAGACACGACTATTATCTGTGTCATCCAATGAACAAGCTACGGTTTTTACTGTCATATCCAAATGCCATGGCAACATCGGTTGCAACAAAACCAATCACCAATTAATTCACAAGCCAACATGCAACGAACGTTCAAGTATCTTTTTTAGTCCTGACGTGGAATCTACTATTCGACGGCTATCATTCGCTTTGGTTGTAATACCTAGGTCGTAGCTGTATTCATATATCTTCATCTTTGAATACATAGACAGTTCAATTTTGTTTTAAGTAACTTTGTACCGTTAATTACAACCAAAACCAGCTGAAGATTAAATCTGAATTTTTCAAATACGTTACAACGTAGTAAACATGAAACATCAACAAGTTGTTGTAGACTATTTTCAAATGTTCAAGACGTCATTGTCTTGCATAATTTTGGTGTTTTTCGTGTGGATTTTTGTGAAGTAAATTGAATATCGAATTGTGATTCAAACAATGTAGGCTCGAATTATTTGTGACAATTTTTTCCCCTTGAAGGCTTATCCAATCGATTTTCCTGTTGCCACGGTATTTAGAGCAGAACCATGTACTCATAACAAAGTCGCTGGCCCAACATAGCATCACAGATGAGGAACTAAAGGCATTTGAAGAAGAGGAACAACAGGAAAAGCAGGAGAAGCGGGAACAAGAAAAGGAGAAACAAAATGCAGAAGAGAAACCGGAGACAACAGCTGAAATAAAAAAAACAAATTAAATTTAATCTTATCCGAAAGGGATCAGGTGTATGTATACTATATTAAATCTCATGGTCAATAAATGTAATTGAGTGTATTAGTATTGCACTCTCTATTCTTTACTAGTCAAAATGTTCGAAAGTAGGCAGCCGGCTAATAATATTCAATATTTTTGAATTCAATCAGGCTAGGCATACAACTGACTAAAGGTGAGTCATTTTATTTATACATGAGCTATTAAACAGATTGATGATGAAAACCATCTTTGAATTTGAATGTAGCATTACCTTATAATCACCTCACTTCTTGATATTGAAGTGATATTTGTTTGTAACTTTCTAGAAGAGAAAAAAAAACGGAAAAATAAATTGGGCTCAACTCTCTAAATTTTTGGAATTTCTTTCTTTCTTTCTCTCTCTCTCTCTCTCTCAACGTGACGTAAGTCTTAGAACTAATTTTATCTTCATTGATTTTTTTCATGTCGTAGTTTTAATTTAAAGATATTTCTGATTTTCACAAACGAAAGTTTTTTTTATTCAATTACAATTAAATAAATAATAGAAATAAAATAAAAAATAAAAATCGATATGAGCAATCTCACAAATTGCTAGCGTAGAATTGAAAAATATTTTAAAAATGATTCTTATCAAGAGCGTCCAGCACAAAATTTCATAACTGAATGAAGGGAATTATTATTTGAAATTTATATTTGCACACATCTTATGTGTGCACTTGAACTGTATTTGTTTTAATTTAGGTTTTCTATTTGATGAGGCGAACAATTGATCATTACATGACATAGATAAAAGGGTGAATGCTCATATCGGTCTTTTCTTGGTGATAAAGAAACAGGTTTCTCAAAATGGACGCTAAAATATGTGTGAATTACATACAACTTCAAGAATTTTATCAGAACATCCGAAAGTAATAACTTAAGATCTAAAAACTATGTGAAAACTATTACACCCGAACGGCAAATTTAAAAAGAATCGATTGCAAATGCGACGGCCTAAATTGATGAGGCAGCGCTGAACACATTTATACTTCTCCAAAGTTAGTGTGGCCCGTGGATTTAGCATGTTGTTGAGCTTGCACTTGACCTTTTAAAAGGACATCGCATTGGTTGCACTTCAGACTGAATTTTTCAACATCGGTGTATTGCCTCGACGATTGAGCCTCCTTAGCCAATTGCTCAGCTTGAACATAGACGGATTCATCTTCGATTGGAAACATTGTTTTTGGTGGATCGCCCTTTAAAAGGAGAAAAAAATAGTTAAATTAAGCTAAGCTAGTTCACTGACATGATAGACTATTTATAATATTTTATGTGTAAATGCGTACATTTACTGATTCCAAATAAAGAGGATCATAGTGAATGCCATCGAACAAGAGAAACACCCTCATTCCGTATTCTTTGTCCTCGCCGAAGCGATTAATTAGAGCGTTTGTAATATCAACGACATCAATTTCAACACCATAATAATTTGATAAAATTGAAACTTCAATTGCGCCGCCCCACGACGCTGCTTTTCGAATCCATTCACAGTACTCTGGATTCGGTCGACCAAGTATTGCTTCGTTGTAGGTTCCCTTGTCGTTTGAAACGTGTTGGGCAATAACCTCACGCAAATAACTGCCAACTTCCGTATCGATTCGTCCATTCATTACATAGCCTGATGTGGAAAATGTATTTATCATACAAAAGTTCAACCAAATCGAATGTAAATCTAAAATTTAATACAATTACCTATGCTCGTGAATAAACAACTATTGTCACTGGGGACGACCTGCTTCAATAATATCCCTTGTGGGACTAAACCAGTTGCGTTCTCTTCTGCATTTGCGAATCGTTGTGCTAATAGAACATCTTCTTCCAATTGGAGATTGTTTCGATGTTGCTGCGGCACCACATCTGGAATCGACTTTTCCTCAACAATCAAAGTATCACCATTGATTATTCCAGAGGCCGATAACAAATTCTCATTTGCAGATAACAAAGGCTTCGGGGGGAAACCAACAAGTACACATAATACATCGGCCGGTATCCTCGTTAGTTCCGAAATTTTCGATTTTAAATTGCCAATTGTTTCGTCAGCTGACAAATTATCCACGACATGATGACCTTGTTTGGTTTTCACTTTTAACATAAATCCACCCATTTCATTTATGTTATTCTCTTGGAGAAAATATCTGTTAACAAAACACAATGGATTACTGCTCTAACATTTGACTTTCACACACATAATGGGGATGAAATCTTCAAGTTAAATTTGGAACACTTTTCATTTTTGTGGATTACTTTTATAAAGCAATTAAGAAAGTTAATCTTATGTTAAAACGGAATACATTACCCTTTGTTTGAATAACACGATGATGATACGATGAATAAAAATTGTTTAGATAATGATGAGATTTGAAGATGATTATTTTAATTTCGATTTCATTGTTTGACAGTTGAAATGTGAATATGTCGAAATTAAAACGTCCAGTTCATTCACATTGACAATATACTCAAAGTAGCATACTTCAAGAATACTTATACGGAATGGCCTACTTTTCAAACAGGATTTTTTATTTGGTTTCATTGTATGATCAACTGAACACATATCACGAAAATGAGGAAAAGAAAATTAGAAAACAAAAATAGGGATTTTGGTTTTTCTTTTTTCATTGACGGACTGTGAATATTGCCAATATGCCAAGCAGAGCCCTCTCGTGATGCGATATTGTCACTACTTCAAACTCTCTTTATTCTGTCGCGGTGAAAATGGTGAAAAATCAAAGAGAGCAAAAATTTGGTCGAATTTTTTTCAAAACATACATATTTGTACAATGTATACCTTAACTATTCTCGTCCATTAAAATTAGTCCAATGAAACAGAAGCTCGTTTTATTTCAAATTTGTTCTTTGAATTATTATTTTATTGTGTCACGATACATCTATGCCAAGTCGAAACACATTTTCAATCTGTTCAGCCGTTCTATTAATTTAAATTTTTTTTTCTTAGGCTTAAATTTTTTTATATTTTAAACTTAACAACCTTTTATTTTGGGCAACGAATAGAAAAAAAAGTTTTACTTTTTTCACTTGTTAAAAACATTCAATGTAGACTTATAAAGGACTTAGTGGAATTAAACAAAATGTTAACGTTTAGTCTTCATCTGAGTCATTATCACTGTTCGCAATCGACATACGACTCAATGATTCGTTTAGTTTTTTTGTTTTATTTTCGGCGAGGCGCTCAAGCAATGTCATTCTTCGCGGTGTTGTGCTCGTCCCATCTGATTGCTGTTTATTCGATGCTGGCGATAATGAATTAGTCGAGGTGACTGATTGTGGGCTTTGCGAGTCCGGTTTGGTCTCTATTGCATTATCGCTATCGATTTGTGCGCATTTTAGCTGGATTTTACTAGCCAATTTTGATGAGATTTTCACCGTCTCTTGAACTGCTGGGTCTGAATCATTGCACTTGAACCCGCTGTTATTAGTAGTATGTCCATTTGTACCAGTTTTGTGTTTGTCGTGTAAACGATTTTTATGGTTGGTATTTATTGAGTGCTTGAGCAAACAAGATCGTTTTTTGCGTTTAAGGCCAGGTACTTTAAAATCGGACAGTTTCGATTTAACACCATCATATATTGTAGGCGGTCGTTTCAAAATTGGCCAGTCTTTCATTACTTTTGAATCAAACTGACGCTTTGGTGTAGCAACAGGTCTTTCAGCCGGTAGTTCGGGGGGTTTGCTGGCAGCCGCACGATTGGAAAACACCGCTTGTTGTGCCATTGCGTCTGCAGCGCCTTTAATCACATCCGTATCGCTTGGATTGCCTTCATTTTTCGGATTTGGTTGCGGTTGTGGTGGCAGTTCAACTTTTGGTTCTGGTTCTGGTTCTGGTTCTGGTTCCGGTTCGATTTCATAGTCCACAGCGTTTGGAAGCGTTTGTCGACGTTTATTGGTTTTATTGTCGATTGGTGTCGGGGATGCGTATCTAGATTTGACTTTGTCACTTGTGACTTGAGCCACTTGTGACTGGGGTTGCGCTGATGGAGATAATGTTTGCTTTGGAATTTCATCGTGAAAGTCCTTGTAATCCTTTTTCAAAAGCGTCGATAAATCGTAAACAAAATCTTTTTTCACAGGCATTATACGATTCCTGATTGGTCGTCGGGTTGGAATAGAATCATTTTCATTCATCTTTTGATCCCCAGGTGAAAGTGACCACCCTGAATTTTTCATTTTATCTTTTGCTTTCGGTCTCCCTTTTCGTTTCGAAATTGTGTTCAATTTGTTCAATTCAGTCTGGTCGACGATTTCATCCATTTGATTGGTTGAACTGTCTCCCATGTCAGCATTACTGTTTTCATTCGATGTACCCAATGTCAGCAGGTGTTCAGAATTGTCCTCAACAATAAACGCTTCGCTATCAATGAACATTTCTTCTTCATCATCTCTCAACACTTCGGTGTGCTTTTCCTTACGGCGATTCGCACTACTTGATTGTGGCGGTTTTGCTACTGGCTCCTCATTAACTGTAATAAATTTGAAAGCATCTGTTCTTTCTCCACCTAACTGATGTTTCGTTCTCACATGGCTTAGCATATCGATCTTACGGCGTGCATGAAACGTACATAAATTACATGTAAACTTTTGCGGTCCGAAGTGTGACATTGTAATATGACGTCGAAGATTGCTTGCGTTCGAAAACTTTTTGAAACAATATTTGCAGTGACTTGATGTGAGTTTCAATTTCGTCTTACTATTAGTCGTTTCGCTGGTAGCGGCACGCGTTCTTTTCTCTTCTTTCACCAAAAGTATATCTTCTGATTTGATGGCTTTGAGCTGTGTGTCAACATCACCCGTATTATTGCTACCTGAGTCTGACAAATGTGCATCATCGACCGGTGAAATATTCTCCTCTTTGATTTTAATTGTATCGTCGGCATTCCAACATATATTCAACGATTTTTCATCATCTGAGTTTATTGGGTCATCGGTGACAATTGCTTTCAACGCTCGATTCCTTTTTCGTCGACTTGTCGTGATATTTTCGGGGGCGTCCAAGTCCAATTCGTTCTTTATCGTTTTGTTTGATTTATCTTTTAATGTTGACATCACGTTGTCATCCATACAGGCACCATCTAGTGAATTCGAATTTGATGAATCATCGTACTCTCTGTCGTTCCAGCCATTTGTGCCAGTTCGGCTATGATCCACTTTTCTCGTCAGTGATATTCGCGTATTTGGCTTTTTCTTTTGTTGACAAACCTATGGAAAAACGTCGTTCGAATATTATGAAATTGTATTGTATTGACTTGTATGTGGATAATGGATTTACCTTATGATGTGATAGTAAGACAGCTCTACGATCAAATTGTCTGCCACAGAATAGGCAAACATTTTTGCTGCTGCTTTCATTGTCCTCGAGATTATCAAGCCAAGCTTTATTTTGTGAATCAACACGTTCTTTGTCCGTTTGTAAGCGAGCTAGTTCTCTGCTGGGGCCCTTCACCTGAACCTCGTCGATCCGTGTACGCCGCTTTAGAATAGAATCTCGCATCAGTCTAACACGACGCATCGATTTTCTGAAAATTTAATAGTCGTCCAATTAATCGTGAATAGATAATTTCCGATGAATCGACCGTCACTTACTTATGATCGTTCGTTAAATGTCGAATAACCTGGCCAACTTGCAAAAATGTTTTACTACACGACGGGCACTGGAAAACATACGTTGAGGTGATATGCTTCGTTTCGATGTGCAGTTTTAGCATTTTTTCCGTTGCAAACTTAGCGTTACCTGTTCAATGATTTTTTAAATTTTTTAAAAATAAATCAAAGCATTGAAGAGAAGGAATCACTTACAAATGTCGCATTCAAATGGTCGAGGTAATTTGTCGTCATTATTTGGAAATTCGGGTAGATCTGATGGACTGACAATTTTCCCATTAAATCCTAGTACTGTGCGGCTCTTATCTGATATATCCTCTATTTCGATAACCTCAGCTTTGATATTATCACAGCTAGTGTCATCATGGCCCTTAACAGTTTGATAGACGGCAACATTCGATTCAGGCACCACATCCAATTGTAGCACGTGTCTCTTTCGTAATAGCTCATCCTGTGTTAGTTTGTTATTTACTTGTTCATAAAAATCACTGAGTTTCAGTGAACGATTGGCCTCTTCGCGCTTGATAAGCCGATCGACTATACTGCTCAAATCCTTTTCATTATTCTTACTATTTTTCACTGTACAAGGAAAATCCACTTCCGCTTGCACAATTGTTGATATATCTTGACTGAAACCTTGACCATCGTTATGAAAATTATGATGCAATGATGAGCAGTATGTCGTTTTACAGTAGACTCGTTTGTGGCTTATGAAATTGGCCAAACTTCGAAACATATTTCGACACACTTTGCACTCATAAATGATATCACATTCATTGGATAGTAATTTTCGGATCTCTTCAGTTCCATCTTCGAATGCTTTTCTAGCTTCATTCAGCCCGTTCACAGCAGTCTTGATTGGTTTCCTTAAAATACTCAAGTCGCTAGTCATTGTATCCGAATGTAGTTGACCGGTTGCAATTTCAGCTGCTCGCTTCATCTTTGATGATCGATCGACCAATCCCTCGTAAATTGTATGGCCTAAAAACGATTTTTTTTCATCTGCAAAGGTAACAAGAAAAATCCATCAAATAAATAAAAAAAACAAACATTTGTAGGTATATAATTTGACGACATATTTTTGCAATGTGATACTTTGTTCAAACTATCTGATACAATTCAAATTCGATGTCAGCAGAATGGAACACATTATCGCCATGAACAAAATCAGTTCATGAACGTATTGTAAAGCTAATTTTGGAATTATTCTGACTTTTGATGAGTCGTTTTGAATCATTCACCAAAAGTGGAATTTTTTCTCTAATTTACTCAAATTTCAACATTGTTTTTCTGCTTCTGAGTGGAATACCATGGACATGCATAAGGCAATTCTTTTCGTTGAATGTTCGACGGACATATGTTGTATGGAAATCAAGCAACGAATCATCCACAAATTGAATTTCTACGTCATACCACTTGATTGGAATAAGCGACCATATTTTCTTATTGTTTATGCTCAAGTTTGTCGTGCATATTTGGACAGTTCTATAGTGTATATGGAGCTCACATGATCGGCAATGTTAAATTTGAGTAGTTTTCCAACAATCAAAACATAAAACCTGTTGAGTTTTTCTTTCTTTCTTCCAGATGAGTTTGATTGCACAATTTCAATTCACGTAACCATAAATGTGACGATTTTTTTTAATTTTCAAACAAAAACAAATTCAGTTATCTGGTGAAGAATCAGACAAAAAGTAGTTACACATTTCTAATACACAAATTCATACATTATACGTTCATAATTTCTAATGTGTTGAATCACATTAAATCATGTTAGCTAGCTGTTTATTTTATTATTTTGCCGCACATATCGTACGAATGCAATACAGAGGAAAAAAATATTACCAGATTTAAACGGGTAATTTGTACTGTAGCAAAAAGAGATTGTAATTGCAATTGGCAGCATGTAAGCCATGAACGAGAGATCGAATGCGTGCATGGGTAAGAAAACTGTGGAATAAAAATCCAATGGGTCGATTGTTTACCAATTGATCAATAATATATACATACACAATGCAGTCATCAATTTTGATATGAAAAATTCCAGAAAGACAACTGACTCTCTTTGATTTAATTCTTCGACACGGTCAGAGCAAAAAAACATATATTTCTATATGAATATATGTGTAATAACACTATTGGCTGCCGTCGACTACAACGATGAACCAAACCAACAGAAATGGATGGAGACATATTCGAAATTCTATGTATATACTATACGTCATTCGCAAAGCAGGCAAATAGCACTCGCTCCGTATGTGTTTTTAGTGGCTCAACAATCTTCATTACATTTATGTACAGATATGTATACATGTATTTTATTCGGTTATATTACGTATTATTGTCGTTGCGGACTTTTTATATCATTTGCTCGTCGATTTTTGGCGTAATTTTTTTCTTTGAGCAAAATACAAACAAAAATCTAAATTCAAATTCCGATTTCAAATCATTGGTGTGTAATCAATAATATTATAATTTTATTAAATGTATGCGTATGAAAGTGACAGTTTAAAACCCTTTGCTATCAGAAGAAACAGTCTATCAAGTGTATTTAGGTGAATAGACAGTTATTGTACATTTGGCTTTTTATGAGAATGAACCCTATGAATTCCAAAGCTTTCGAATGAATGTTCGGGTTTTCAGAAATCTTTATGGCATTTTTGCATCTTTGAAAATTGGTTTCTATTAGTATTTTCATTTAATGCAATGAATCCATTAGTTTTTTTTTTTCCAGGTCTTTCTATAGTTTATTTAATTAAATTAATATGAAAGCATAACCATCCATTGAAAGAAATTTAAACCATTTTAAGTAGAGAACAGTAGTTGAAGAGAACTATCAAAAGGAAATATTTTGTTCATCACTTTAGTTTTTCGGCATAGGTTAGAATGATCTCAACGAATCACGAATTTGATTTATTTAAAACATTGATCCACTGATAACTGCACATTGTTATCACCATATTTGTAATATGTATTTCTGTCATATAAAAACGGTTTTTCTTACGGAACTGCAATCCATTTTTGGGTCTGGAAAAATATCCATACGATTAGTTAATGTTTTACTTCATTTAAATTTGAAAAAAAAATCGAAGAAAAACTGATGATTGAAACAAAGAAAATGCATACACTCTAATTTTTTTTCTGGTCGAACAACCCATTTGAATTTCATCAGAATTGAACGGAAGGTTTTAAAATGAATTGAGAAATAAAGAAAAATCACAAAAACTATTTGGTGGCGATATTTAAAGTGTTTTTTTGTTAGTGCTTAAAATAGTAGTCAGTCGTTTGTGCTTATTTTGTATATTATTCACCTTATTTTCAATGTTGTTTTTCTCTTTCCGTATTTTTTTTTTGTGGATGTATGTATTTTCCTCGTTTTTACTATATTTATTGCCTATGTCACGCTGGTGCTGCTATTGTCGCGACCGCTGCCTTCTTTCTGTATATTTGCTTTTAACTGAAATAGCTATACCGATATTAGAGAGTTGAAGTCACGCTTGCACTAAGTCATACGTCGTTGCAATGTATAATAAGCGATCGAAACACTCTAATGAAATGTTCTTATGTTTCGTGTCGTTTCGGTTTTGATACAACAATACAACATTTTCCCTTAGCTGCTTGCTATGAATTGGCTTAAACACACTGAAAGGTCTCTCAATACCGATAATATTTTACAAAAATATTCATATCGATGTTGTTTGTGATCCATTTTGGTAAGTATTTGTTCACATATACGTAGACAACACACGAATCACGCTCACATGTAGCAACACAGTGACAGCCACACCGGACCAATACCGATGTATGTTCAAACATACACGCAGAGCTTAGCAAACAAGAAGCGTGGTCTTTTGCACTCGCATACACATACACACACACACACACACACACACACACACACACGATTGGCGAGAAGCCGGAATTTTGTGGACAGGCATTCATTGTAAGGGGAAGATGAAAACACACATACATTGGTGTCTGTATCAAAATACAGTCGTATGTTCAAATGTTCATACAAATCCACTACTCTTCTACAGAACACAGACGTTAGAAGTTTTCTAAACATCATTAACAATCTTCATACACGGACTCGTTCATATGTGAAAAAAAATCGCTGTTTTTCTTGCTTTAATTTTCTATGTATTTTTTGATATGATATTTCTTCTTTCGTCACAGACAGAATCGAATTGACATTTACATGCTAAACAATGTTGATGTGAGAATATGCCTGCTTCATAATATGTCACACAGACACATTACCGTATAGAGCAATATACCTCATACAATTATTGTGCAAAACACGGTATTGGTTTTGCCTCAGCAATATGTGTGCCGTTTGCGTGAGGCCGAACATAAAACCTGCTATATCTTATTGGAAAATTGACCAGCATCTTTCTCGTTGCCAATCGGTAATATAATGCCAATTTCATTAGCCGTTGTTTGCTCCCTCTATAACTGCTACTTAACAATTTTAAACCAAAAAAAAAAATCATCGAAAATATGTATAAATATACTATTGAACAGTTTACAAAAAGAAAATTTACGCTCGATGTTCAACCTTTTTATGCTGTTTTGAATTCTACGTTTTCTTGCTGACGAAAAAATTATCTTATCGTTTCACAATAAGTCTTTATCATCGTTGATTTTGGTTCATAGTTTTAATTATAGCTTCTCTTGAATTCTCCGATAAACAGCGAAGAAGGAGGTAATACCGATGAAGAAAACTCATTTGTTTCATAATTAATCAATGTAGTCATAGTCCAAAACGATTTGATTGTGTAATAAAACGTACACAGTATGATAGTTCAATAGTATTTGATGCTAATTTATCAAATTTGTGTGTGATTCGTCTCATGTCGTTTTTTCACGATCCTCTTCGAAAGTTTACTTTTTATTTAGGAAAAAAATTGTTTTGAGGCAACTTCACTGATGATCGAATAATCAAGTTTCTAATTGATTTTTTTTTTTTGCCGCAAAATACACTCATAGGCTTGTGTTGTGCATTCACATTAAAAAAGCCCATTTCCAAAGTAATAAAAAACGGAACGAATACTAAAAAAGAACAAAGTAATGTGGATTGCTATCACCAAATGTTATCATTACTATCTTGTTCCAGACTGCCTCTATTCCCACTGCATATTGACGTATGAACGGTTGACTTGAACACGGTGATAGTTTAAACACAAAACACCATTAAACGAAACAAAAATTCTGAAATAGTTCAAAAGTTTGAACACAACCATGACATCGGTCATATGTGATGATGAGGCCATATATGCGATTATGGATTTGTATGGTTGTCAAACATCTGTCAGCATCGATTTACATTTCGTAAAAATTGAATATTTCATCATTGATATAATAATTGTTCATGTGGTTTGGTGCATCGTATGAAAACGATTTTACAATTTGAGAGATGTCAATTGCAAACCACCACGTGGCTTATAACTTCCTCTAAAAAGTGCACATTACTATTAGATGCCATCGACTGGATGATCAATAGATTGACTCGCTAAAAAATATTTCAAGTTCTCAATTGCTCACCGCAATTTCCCCGAAAATTTCATGTTCATTTAAAAAAGTTTAATTTCTCCAGATATCAAAGGCTAAATTTTGCATCGGGGCGACATCAAAAAAATTGCTTGGCAGCGCCGAGTACTCCCGCGGTGGTGAGAAACTAAAACACACCAATCGACAATATTGATGATGATCATCAAATTGTTCATACTAAATTTTATCCACTTTAGGCACTCATAACACACAAACAGTTTTTTTTTTTTTCGAATTGAGTTTTTGGTGATATTTGTGGTTCCTTCTCTCGCTCGCTCATTTGTTGTTTAATTGACAAACAATACATACGGTTTTTCCAGTGAATTCAAAATTACCAATGCCATTTTACCAACATTATTCAAACATTGTTGATAGTTCGACATTTTGCCGAAAACACAAAAAACGTTCGGTAATTCATCGAATTGCCGAATTTACTTTTAATTTTTCCGATTTGATTTTTAGTTAGCATGTAAACTTGATATGTGATTCTAATAATCAAGAATTTTATTGTTATAAGTGCCTAAAGTGGATAAAATTTTGTATGAACAATTTGATGATCGTGAACATCAATATTGCGATTGGTGTGTTTTAGTTTCTCACCACTGCGGGAGTACTCGGCGCTGTAAGCAGTACATCAGTGCTAAACGCTTATGTCGCACCGATGAAATTTTGGGGAAAAATATATATTCCAAATGAATCAAAGATATTTGTAATTCAAATCATTGTTGAAAGTAACAATAATATATTGATTTATAAATAAATTTAGTGCGTAACGTTTGAAAAATATTCAATACGAATAAGAATCAATCATAGTAAATTTTGGTTGTTATTAAAATGCCTTTTTTTTCAGTTGTGATAGATGTAAAATAGAAATGCAATGTTTATCCACACCAGCTGAGATTAAATCAGTTAAAACTGTCTTGTCTGTATGACCTTTTTGCTATTAATTTAAAAGCGTTTCGGATAGTTAAGATAATAATCGGAAATCTATTCGTTGAATTCAGTTCTTCAAACTAAATTAGAATAATACAAATATTTGAACGTCTTTTTTGGTACATATTACATGAAATTAATCCAAAAAAATTAGCACCACACTTGTTGATAAATTTAACAAAAACCTAATAAGAATATACAAATGGTTTATGTTTTTCCTTGTTACATGATTACTTAAACTGTCGATCGATTCATCATAATAACAAACTTTTTCTATATTTAGTACGATTTATTCTGCATACACATTTTTATACATCATTCATACTTCAATGAGCTGAAGAAAACTTCAAAATATATTACAACCTACATGAAAAATGGAGTATACGTAGTAAATTCACATCAAAATTCAAAATTGAACATAATTTAAAGCCATTTAAAACTTTCAGAGGATTCATAAATTTGTTCGGATATATTTGAACACACTATTATCATTGGTAAATTCAGTTCGCATTAACACTCATACACAAATATCACATTCTCAGTTTCAGTTAATTTATATGCTTAGAGTCATCATTTTTCTCTGTCTCTCCGTTGGTTTTATGTAATTACAATCACATTGGCGATTCTTTTAATTTAGTCTTACCGATTCGGATCTGAATTGGGCCGTAAACTTCCTTTTTGCTAAAGTATTCCCTTTCTCTCTCTCTCTCTCTCTCTCTCTCTCTCTCTCTCTCTCTCTCTCT